GAGGCTCCAGCTTGCACGAAACACAAACTCTGCACGTGTTGCTGCTGGATCCTGGACACTTCCAGCTCTTCCTCAGGCTCAGCACACATGCTGGTTATCAGCAGCGGCAGGCAAACAAACCCCTTCCCTGTGCAATCCTCGTGCTCACACCCAAATCCCACCCAGGCAGCCAAGCTTTCCTCAGAAAGCAATAAAGTAATTACACCCAAACAAGTTTCTCAAAAGGGACGCTGGTAAAAACTGGTCTAGGTGGTCACAGGAATTTAGCTCCAGAGAAAGCCTGAGGAGAAGCACTGTTGGGCGTGGGCTTAACCCCAGCAGCAGGAGGGGAGAGCGTGGCCCGGCAGAAGAGCACTGCTGGACCCCAAGAGCTCCACATTCCCGGGGCTGGCAGCAAAGCTGCCAGCAGGACAGCTTTCCAGCCCCAGAGCGGACCTCCCCAGCCCCCTGAAAGCCTCACCTTCTCCTCCTTCGGTGCTGAGGGCTGCGAGCAGTGGGGACACTGCCAGGACCACGAGCCAGCACCTGGCCATTGCCACAGCCCTGTGGCAGGCGCTGGGCACACAAAGCCCCAGTTCCAGGCTGCTGCACTCAAGCTCCGTTCTTATTTGTGATCTCCCCCCCACACACACCCTGGTGGTTTTTATCAGCTCCTCCACCTGAGTCACTCCCAGCAGGAAGAGCGCGGTGCCTTGCTCTGACTCACCGGGAACAGGGGAGCCCAGCCCAGCAGCGCAGCCAGGCGCACATGCGCCTGCCGCCAGCCGAAGGCATTGCCAACAACGGGACACAGCACCCTGAGGGCCTCCTGGCAGCACCATCCCAGGGAAAAGGGCTGCTGGGACAACATGAATTCAGTGGTGGCTGCCCAGCTGTGTCCCGTCCACCCTCCTCCATATGGGCTTTTCCACCACCCTCCAGGCAGGTCTGCACATAGGAGCGGGGCTGCCCGGGCATGCAGGCGGCGCAAGAAGTAGCGGAGTGAGACGGGATGAGATCATGGGGAGCCCGAGGAGGGGGGACAGGGGCTGCCTGCACAGCCTCCCGGCCGCTGAGCCACCCTGCCAGAGCAGGGCTGGAGGAAGGCAAGAAGAGGGGCCCAGCAGGACCCACAGCCAAAGGCTGCTGGGGATGCAAAAAGCCCCTGAAGTCAGCTTGGACACATGCTAACAAAAAAAAAAAAAAAAAGTCTATCAGGATCTACAGGCATTTGGTACAGGAAATCCCCAGACCTAGAGATGGGAGAAAGGCTGGGAATTATCAGCAACTGTCATGCGTGTTTATCTGCTTTTACACCTGAGACAGAAAATAACCTTAAACAGGTCATTGGCCTGGCCCAATACAGCTGCGTTTGTGCTTGAAAAGGCTGAGGAGCAGACGCCCCAGAGCCCTGTGCCCATCGGCATTTTGGTCCCAAGGGCTGCAGACTTGCCGCGTGAGACCCGAAGGCAGATCTGCCTTGCTCCTCACCTGCACGTCTGAGGCAGCCACAACCAAGTCCACTCTGGAGCCGATTGTCTCCAGAAGGACCCACCGCTGGCCAAGCCGAGCCAGTGAGCACGTTTTGAAGAACGGGAAAAACTGCTGCAGGACAGCAGTGGGGAGAGAGAATATGTAGAGGAAACAGCTCTGCAGACACCGAGGTCAGTGAAGGAGGGGAGTTCTTCTCTAAGAGCTGCAGCCTGGGGGAAGCCCACTGAGGACCAGTTTGGGAAGCACAGCACCCCATGGGAGGAGTCCAGGGAACCATCTCCCTGTCCTTATCTCAACCCTTGAGCCTATTCTCACTGTATTTTTTCCCCACCTATCTTTGAGGAGTGGGAATGAGAGAGCACAGCAGTGGCATTAATTTTGCTATCAGTGTGAAACCTCCACACCATGGCCTCCCAGCCCGGCCCATAGCCAAACACACAGGAGAAATGGGATGCTGGCACATCCCTGTGACCCCCGAAAGCAGCCCCGAGGCTGATCTCAGGGAAGGACGGTCCTCATGCTGCAGCTCAGCACTGCTTATTGTCTCGATTTGTGACCACAAGTGGGTCACAGACACCAACACCTGCAGATGAAGGTGCCCAACAAGTTCACCCCCAGCCCAACGCTGCAGTTACCTTTCTGCCTCAGGGACTGGAGCCCAGCCCAAATTAGGCTGACATTCTGCTCCTTCCAGAGCTAACAGATCTGGGCTAATTAACACTCAGGTCACCTCCTGAACCTTTGAAGGTGCCCAACAGCCTCTGCACACTGATGGACCCAGCGGTGACTCAGGGCTTCCCTCACCGCCTCCTCATGCCGTGGTGACCTCCTCGTACAACCAGCCCGATTGCACTGCCTTTTGGTGACTCCGTTTGCCAAGTTTAACTTGCCTCTGCCGACTGATTCAACTCTCTTTTACAAACAGGCTGCTCCCTTTTAATTGCATACACTGTGTCTTAATATAGCTCACAACAAGGAAACCAGCTTCACAAATGCATTAGTGGCATATTGACATTTGAAAACCAAGATTGTCTTGTCTGATTCTTTCATTATTTTTTAAGTAGTGAGACAAAAACACCCCATTCCCACCTACTTGGCAGAGTTCCTATAGGCCTGTTTATTCCTTTAGTGAAACGCACTTAATCCGTTCTGCTCCAAAACCCAAATTCTTGACCGAGTTCTCTGTTAGACCAGCTCTCGCCATCGGGAAGCTTTTCACAAGAATTGTGATTTTTCCTTATTTGGCTCTTTCTTGTTATTCCTTCTGTCTCGCCATTCGCACTCAGCCTCTGACCTCACTTCTGCAAACAAGCACTGACACAGCTCGCTCTCTAGTCATTTCTGCATATTTGCTTTGGTTACTCTTACTTCGTCATCCTCCACCAGCACTCAAAGTCACCTCTAAAAGCTGCATTAATGCATGCAGACACTGCCCAAAGCAGAGTTTCAAGGCCATGATTTTCAAAACACACTAGACCTGAAACAAACTGGTGCCCACCACCCACTGCAGGAGAATTGTCACCCACCGTGATGGCAGCGCTGGCTGGAGAAGGCGTTACACAAACGTTGCTGCTCCCCTGGGGCCTGTGCAGAAGTGGGTTCTCCTCAGGTGCTTGCTGGCTTGCTTTCCTTCCAGCCACTGTTGCCCCTCGTGCACGTGCTCACCTACACATGTCCACGTACTGCAAAACCTGTCAGCATATGGAGCTTCCTCCCGGTCCCACAGTGCCTAAAGCAGAACACCAGTGGTAGCTCGTTAATCCTTTAAACACAGCCCCTTGCTCAGGAATATTCTTCACAAGACATCCTGTGGCACTTCTGTGGTTTTTATAGACACTTCTGGTGTACCTGGAGGCACAGCTTGGCAGCTGGGACAGCCCATGTTCAGGAGAGGCAAAGCCCCTAATTCCAGCCACACAGAGCAGAAAAGAGATAAAGAATTTGGGCAAGAGCTTGGTGGGACCCCCAGGACCCAGCCGTGCTCACCAGAGCCAGCAGCCCCTTGGGTCGGGGGGGGGCAGAAGAACAAGAACCCAGCCAGACCCCAGCAGCAGTCCCATCACCTCCACATTTTACTCCAGCAAGGCATAAAAAATACACAGCCTTTGACTTAGGGAAGCCATGTCTCATATGCTAAAAATTCCCCCTGGATTATGGGGCGGGCTGAGCTGAGAGCCACCTCTGGTGACGGGGGTGACCCCGCAAAGATCACAGCCTCAGGGCCGCCTTTCTCTGGCTGGGACCCAGGCCCTGCCTGCGGGGCCACAGCGCTGAGCAAGCGGGGCAGGGTGCAGCAAGGAAACGCCGTCACGTCTGGCCTCGCCTCGCCACCGCCCTGCCTGTACGCGAGGGGATGAGACACAGACAGGTAGGCAGGCAGACAGGCAGGGACTCTGGCATTTCTGTCCTACTGTGCTCTATCCTTTGCCTGCAAAGAGCAGCCTGGGAAGGGCCCCAAGCTCCACGAAGCCCCCCAGAGCTCCCGCTTTCGCTAGGACAAGCACTCAGCTGCTTTTCACCCTAGCTGTGAAGACCCCTCCTCTGCCCAGCTCCTCGCCATTGCCAGCTGACCCCTGGGGCAGCCTCGCCTTCCTCCAGAGAGCACAGGCATGGAGTTTGACCTCTGAGAGTGGAAAAAGTCCCTAGAAATTAGAGAAAACCCAGAAAAGCATGTTGCATCCCCCATGAGCAAGGTCCCTCCTCTTGACGTCCACCTCAAGGCCAAGCTCAGCCCCTGCTGGGCAGAAACATCCCCCTCAGATCCTGGGTGGACTCCTGGGCTCAAATACTTGACAAGCTTCCTCAGCCCACTTCCTTTCACACCGCCTTATTTCCCAGGTCACAGCAGCGAACAAGCCTAGAGAGAGGCTGCTGGGGAGCAGGTCCCTCAGGTCCCTGCAGCTCCTCACTGGCCATGGTGGCAGCTCCTGCCAGGGTCAGGCACTCCAGCCCGTGGTCTGTTATCACAGTCATCTTTCCTAACATTCAAAACTTAATTCAGGAATAAAATCTCTTTGCTCTTGCTAACAGGACACAGGAACAACAGAGAACACCCAGGTTGTCAGCAGTTCCTGTTGAAGAAATCCCAGGTCCTTTATGTAGGGTTTCCATTTCCCTTTCAGTCCTTTCACCCCGGAGGCCCTTGCTTTTCAGAAAGCCAGCTTTAAGCATACAAGATCGTACCCCTAAAGTGCAAAGAGCCACCCCTCCAACCTCCTGTTCCTTCAAGAAGAGCTCAGATCCAACAGCGTTGCACGGATGGGACACACTCTTATTTCCAAAGGGTTGGAAAAACAGCAGCGTAAAATTCATCGCAGTCAGTGCAACTCAGCTCTGGACACAGAGAGAAACCCGTGTTCAGTGTGTCCATTTGCAGCCCGCTGCAGGAATTTGCAAATTACTTTTCTCCTCCCTTCCCTGCCCCTCACCCTGCTCTTCCAGCTCACTGAGCAAGAGAAGAACCCCGTAACAGAGACAGACCCACATCAACCAGCACCAAAAAAGCAAAACTCAAAGGAATTCCAGTGTATAGGGGGTTACAAATATTCAGACTTTATTATAAATAAGAAATACTGTTTTATACATAAAAACTGCAAGTGTTGCATTTTGTTCACCGCCCCAGACAGCGAGACCACAGATTAAGGCAAAAAAGCTGAAGTGAAGGCACATACTGAGGGGGCCACAGTCAGGAATCAAGTGATGAAGGGACCGCCACGCGCTGCCCGCGACACCCAGCACCCCACCAGCAGCTGTCCCAACATCACCTTACGCAAAGAAATAACTGGACTTATACAATGAGTAATGGCTGTAATGCAGTAGTGATTAAGAGATCGCTTATAAAGTTTTTTTTTTTTATTTAAAAATAAAATTCTGTTAAAAACAGCTTAACAACAACAAAAAAAAATAGAAGAGAAAGCAGGAAACCTTAGGCCTGAGGTCAGCCAGGGCATGCGCGCATCTTCACATCTGCTCTTCTCACAGCCTTGGCAGAGAGGTGACGTGGTTAGACAGCCATCTGACCAGAGCAGCCAGCCAGAAAACACTGATGTGAAGGTCCCACGAGTGTGGGCAAGCATAGGGAAACTCTCCTCCAGGGGTGGGATTGGTATGTTCACAGGTGGGGGCAAACCCCAAGGCAGTTTTTGGTAAATTGCAAGAACTCTAGGAAGATGGGTATAAGAGAGAGGCAGGGTTTGCTAGAAACATCCCCTCTCCCCACAGCAGTTTGAGAATGTGCTCAGCCTCCAGCTACGTCCTCACTCCTTGCACAGAGGTCTGAACCCCAAACCCAGCTCTGACCACCTCAACACCGGGTCCCGACAGCGCTCCAGCTCCTCACAGTCCAGCTGCGAAACTGCCGCCGCTCCCAGAGCATCGCGGCCAGAACCTGGAGGGCACAAAGCGCCCGTCCCCCGGCTGCAGCAGCAGGCGTGGGTCACTGCTGGCCCCATGCCATGTGGATGCTGAGAACACGCATTGGGGGAAGAGGGTGGGAGCCCTGCTAGAGGAAACAGCGGGCTCCAAGGGGGTTATATGGACAGAAGCGATACGTGGTGCACGTGCCGTGATGGTTACAGGGGAAAGCACGTAGAGGAGGCCAGGCTGTGCCACTCTGGAAATATGGCTGAGTATATTTACACACGCATACACATGCACACGAGAGACTTCCTCACACTATAATCATGATAAAAACGGAAAAAAAAATATCACATTCACACAAAAAATATAAATTTGAAATAATTAATAGCACCAGTGTGTGTCAGATAATAATTTCTTCCCCGCTACGCAAACGTACAAAGTTGCATAGTGTTTAAGGATAGATATATGCTGGATCTTAAGGAAGAGAGAGGGGATGCTGGGCTGGAGCCATGGAGGAAGCTGCAGAGGGTGCTCTCGCATCAGAGGAGGGCTGAGGGAGGAGTGAAGGGCTCCCACTGCTGCCTCCCAGCACCACCAAGCAGCTGGCAGTGGGAAGCACTGCCTCAGGAGGAACCTGAAAGCTGCTCTTTCAGCCAGGTTGGAGAGGAAAAAAAAAAAAAAGGTGAGAGCAATACCAAAAAGTGTAAAAATACTACTAGCCTCCTTCAGGAAGACGATGGGGAGAAAGATCTTCTCATTTATATCTTCAAGCCCTCTTCCTTCCCTACCCAAACACATTCAGGTTGAAGTTCAGACCATCTGTCAGAGCTCTCTGGATGGCAGCTCTCCTCTCAGCAAGATTTCTACTGCTTGAACAAATGAATCTGTCAGTCAGACACCTGTAGCCTAAAACAAAGATCCTCTGGTGATCTGAGGGCAACACCTCCAGATGGGAACTCAGCTCATCACTTCCAGACTCCCCAGCCTGGACTACCCAACCGGCAGCTGCTTGCAGACTGCACACAAAACTTCTGCTCCATAGGCCAGCAGCAGTGCTGGCAAGACCTACCACTCCCCTAGCATCCCATCTTCCCAAAAAGCTCCTCTCAGAGGCTGCATTATTCTCAGAGCGATGCATCATCACAGAAAGCATTTCAGAAAGAGGCTTAGGATATTTCATAAAAGGCTACCAATGGTTTTGATTGGCCACTAGTCAACGTAACAAAACAAAAAAAAAAATCACAGGGTTAGAAGTTGGGAACAGGGATCTGAATGAGTGCAGCTATACTGGCCATTACAGTAATACTTTGGTAGCCAACCTCCTTCCTTCATAGGGACAGAGCTCTGGGACCAAGGATTTTACAGTCAAGGGGAGAAGAAAGGAGAGAAAGTAGAGTTAGTTTTGCCTTGCTGTATACAGCTCACATGGTTATTTCTGAACCACAGAATAAAGAGTCCAGAGCATCTCTCATCCTTGCACTAATTAAAGGGAAACTGTCTGAGAAAGGGGCGAAGGTGGAGTGCTCAGGAAGACAATTTATATAAAAAAACCCTTTGGTGCCCAACGACGGATAGTTAATTTGCCTCTCTTAAAAAAAAAAAAAAAAAAAAAAAAAAAACCTTTTCAACTTATCCTGATTTTAAAAGAGAACAGTGGCTACGAGCCGCGAAGAGTTGGGGATTTGAAGAAGGTAAGGTGTGTTAAGGCACTCCATAGCCAAACCATTGCTCCACCAGTCACCCAGGGAATACCCTCCACCCCCAGCGCTCCCTTAGGGTTTCTCAATGGACGGGGTGTTAAAACAGCCAGATGGCAAGGTCTTCTTGATGTCTTCCAGGTTGCTAATGTCTTTCAGGATTTCCTCAATGTCCCTGTTGTAGGCCTGTATTGCATCATCTTGCTTCCTGGCTTCTCTCTCAAGCAAAGACACTTTCTGGTCCAGGTCATTACTTCTCATCTGGTCTTTGGCACTATTCAGGGTACCCTCAATCTCGTTCAGTTTGTTCAAGTCCACCGTCTCCAGTTGCCCTGAGAAGCCAGAAGGAAACAGACCATTAAAAAGGTTTTGAAGCACTGCTTTCGGGTGCTTACACACAGCAGAGCCCCTGCTTTGGACGAGTGAACCAAGATCTCCATCAGACTGTCCATCTCTGCATTAAAATAGGACCACGTGAATTGGCTGCACACTCCAGTGCCTCAAAAATAGTCCTCAGCTTGCAGGAAAGCAGTACTGAACACTGCACAGTGAGCTTTGAAGCTAACCCAGAGAAAAAGAAAAAAAGAAAAAAACACTTGCCAAAAGCACTTAAACCCAATTTCTAAAAAAAGAAAAAAGAAAAAAAAAGAGCTATTTGATTCATGGCACAGCACCACACAACACTGGCTGCCAGCACTTCCCAAACAGGAGACAGGAAAACACTCAAAGGAATATAGCACATATAAGGAGAGCCTTACCTAGTTGATCTAAAAGATCGTTAATGACAGTAAGCAAGCTGTTCACAGAGTTCTTCGCTTTTCTTGCATTCTCTTCTGCCTCCTGGGCTGCCCGTGAAGCCTGCAGGGCGAAAAAAAAACAAGAGCATAATAAACTCTGTAGGGTTTATGAAACCACTGCCTCTCCTTTTCATGCATTTGCCCAAGCAGTTGCACACGTCCGTTTCCTCTCTCCATAATGATCTCTGTGCTGAGATACCTGTCACAGTGTTGGCAAAGACAACCTTCAAATACTCAGTTTTCTACAAGAAAGGATGTAGATCCCTGGTAACTAAGAAGAGTTATGCACGAGAAGTTAGAACAGAGTCAGGTTTCTGTTAAAATAAAAGTACTATGTTAAGGAAACTGGCTCTCAAAGTTGAGTAATGAACCTATGGTAAGGTTACTATAGGAGCTCCTTCATTAGTCTCATGCATTCAATTCCACTTAAAATTTGGAAGATAGAGAATACTAACTGCACCCAGTGAGCAGAAGAAGGCTTGCACTGGCAGGACAGCAGGGAGAATACATCTTCTTGCCTCTGCTGCCAGCGTCACTTACCATGCCTGCCATCATCATGTCCTGATCAGCATCATCTTGCTTCCGCTTCAGTTCTTTTTCTGCTTCCTGGAGTTGCTTCATCATGTCATCCACTTCTTTGGCCAGCCCCGTCACATCAGAGAAAGTCTTGTCAGCTTCAGCTCTGGTAGCAGCAGCACTCTACAGCCAACATGGGAAGAGGATGGAAACAGGCAGTGAAGGCGCCGAACATTCTGGAACAGAGTTTATGCAAATACACGCCAATACCTCTGGAAGGTTGGCTCCAGAACTCCAAGGGACTCACCTTCTGAACAGAACTGGCAATCTTCTCAGCATCATCTGCTTTAGCCTTGGCTTCGCGGGCATCAGCAGCAGCATTGCCAAGTGCCATCTCTGCCTGGCGTGTCTTATTGTTGGCTTCAGCAATGGTCCGGGTGATGGCAGGAATCTTCTTCAGTGCCTCCTCAGCTGCTGTCTTGTTGTCATTCACCCGCTTATCAAAATCTAAGAAAGGGCAAAACAGATTCTCATCATCTGCTCCAGAAGAGCTTTGGGATGCTTCTCTGACCAAACTACCCTGGCTTTGCCTCCTTGAAATTAGAAGGAAGAACAGCAAACTGGGGTCTGGGGGTGCACACACTTGCAGTTCACACTGTTACACATCATCTCAGGCTAAATAAGTAAGCTGGCCAAAAAGGAGATTTCTAGTCACTGGAAAGACTTCAATTTTCCTTTAAAAAAGTCAGAAGAATCTGTCCAACACTTGGGTACTGGCAACAGCATGACTCATTTAACTGAGATGGCTATACTGCAGAGTTACCTCTCTGAGAAGAATTAAGGGATTCCCTGCAAGTGTTTTCTCTTTACCTTTCAGGTTGCTGAGAATGGTATTAGCCTCCTGCAGTGTGCCGTTGCCTTTCCGAGCAGCTTCCTCAGCCAGGGCTTTTGCTGCATCTGCTCGAGCCAGGAGCTGGTCTGCAGTCTAAGGAGACAAGACATCTATCAACATACTCTTACTGTTTGATGGATGACCATGTAGGCCTCTCAGAAAGCATCATTTAGCATGAAACACCACTGCAATACGGAACTGCAGTGATCCCCTAAGTGAGTGGCAATACTTCCTCTGAAATCATAGTAAATTCTGGTACTTTGGAACAACATCCTGAATACACACCTGGCAAATATACAAACTCTCCAATGTACCAACTCTCCAAATATCCCAACTCTCCACAATGAAGTGGCTTTAGCATTTCCTTCACAAGACCATTCTTCAATATTTGTGCAAGTAACAAACACCGCTGAGATATGACTGAGTAAGGCCAAGTCTTTCACATCTGGGCAGTTATTTGTTTGTTTTTTTCTTCTTCCTCTCAGGAAACAAAAGCCTGCACAAAACAGAACTGACCTGCTGCTCCGTCTTCCCTTTCTCCAAAAGGTTCTTTACTTCCTGCTCCTTTCCTTTCATGTCTTCTCTCAAGTCTTCATAGTCTTTCAGCTTCCTTGCTATTAGTTGATCTAACTCCTCTGCTTCCTTCTTGATTTTATTTGCTTCATTCTGCGTGCAGAAATCAGAAACAAATGCAGATTCTCCGAACATTAAAGAAATTCTGAACAGGTGACAAAACACAGTATAATTTCTAATGTTGAAACAGGCAGAAGTGATGACAGGTTATAGCTGTAACTTTGCACCTTCAAAGTTCCAAACACAATGGTCTGTGCAGTGCAGGACAGGGGATGCAAACACTTTTGTGCATAAGAAAGTCTGCACTACTACAGTGAGTGAAGGGAAGGGAGCAGCTCTGCAGACTTCAGCGGGGACTGGATTCTTTGCACTTTTTGATTCAAGCCATGATGTCTGACAAACAACATTTCACTCTTTTTTTGTCCTTCAGAGACTGTGGGAGGGTCTATGTTTGCAGTTTCCTGCTTGTTAATCTCTTGCATAAAGAGCAATATAGAAGTCTCAGTGATACCTTGTTGGATGAAAATTCCACAGACATATATAAAGTAGAGTAACATTAGCAGAGCACACACAACATGTGCCTGCAACCTAGCGTGCTGCCTTAATGATCATCCACACCTGTCTTTACAAAATACTACGTATGATGCTTCATTCATGTACCTCTAGCCCTGTGGAATCCACGGTGGGCAGACTGGTGAGATTAGCATAGATTTGAAGGGCCTTGTTTCCAGCTTCCTCTGCCTCTGTAAGCACCTTGTCAGCCTGTTTCTCTAGGTCCCGAGAAATGTTCCTTGCTTGATTGTATCTAATTAAAAAAACAAAACAACAAAAAAAGAGCAAACCACAGATCCAGTTACTCTATAATTCTTTTGGTAGACTCAAACTTACTGAACAAGTAGAGAGGCTAAAACAGAGGCAACTGTCGTAAGATCTAAAGCATAAAATGCTAAAAAGGCATCTTAAACTTAAGTACTGCTCTAAAGCCAGGAAATAAAAACAATTTTCTGTTGCTGACTCACTTCTGGTTGAGCTCATCAATATCATTCGCAGTTTGGTTTTCCCCAGCCAAGGTCTTCAGCAGCAGCTGATACGCTTCTGTGGAAGTATCATTTGCTGCCTTGGCTACACGAACAATCTCATCCGCTTCTTGCTTGTGTCTGGACAAGATTACAGAAGAAAAATAATGCCATTGGAATTGTCAAGCAGCAGTTTCTATCCTCAACTCCAAGTTTTTATTTTCTCCTATTTTTCCTTCCTTCACCCAGATTTGCACAGCTGCAACACTTGCAATGGAAGATGCTGTTTGGGAACACCTCTGCAACCACAAACGTTACTCCAGCAGCACCCATGAGACCAGTCTATGAGCACCACTACGGCCACACACGTCCCTGGTGCACAGACACAGCGTTTGCCCGAACACACAGGCATGCACCCAGACCAAACCTCATTTCCCCCCCTCTTCTAGGTGGCTGTAGGGCACTGATGTGGGCTCGGAGGAGTGTGCAGCACCACAGGCTACCTTTCAGCCAGCTTACGGGCCTCTTCTGCCAACAGAGTCATGTTGTTAGGGTCGCCAGTTGACTCCGGAGGTGTAATGGACTGGAAAAAAAGAAAGAAAAAATACCTTGAAGCTCTACTACCATCTTTTATTCATCAATGCTTTAAACATTTATTGTCATGATCTAAATGCTTTGAGATGTGTCTAACCTACTTTTGGCCTCTCTATTTTTTCTTAAGTTCATGCAGTTTATACTAGCAGTTACCCCTTAAAAGCAAACGTTTTGGCATTTATTTATTTTAGTATTTTTCTTTGAGCAGGGGGCTAAGATATGATTTATGACAGATAATTGAGATTTTCCTTTGTTTTCCACATTACTGAGTAAAGGAGAAGATGCTTCCATAGCAAGTTTGCTACAAGAGAGAGAAAGAGCAGAGAAACATACCCAGACAGCACAGCAAGGAAAGGCCCTGTCCTCTCCTTGCCCCACCGGATCTCCACTGCACACTCACCACATTGTCAGCTGCCATCTTTGCCTTCTCTAGCATATCAGAAGCTGTCGTGATCAGGTCTTCTGTGGCTTCCACCCGTTTCCGGGCTTTCTCTGCTAAGTCCTCCGTCTCCTGCACAGTGTTCTGGATGTTCCTCAGCCTGTTGAGCTGACTCACTAGTGTGCTGTTGATGTCTTTGAGACGATCCATCAGGCCCTGATCTACGTCTGAAAGACACGATACAAAAGAGGAAGCAAAATTAATTACAGCAGGAAGAGAAGTTGGAGCAGCAGCTTACCTTTGCAGGCAACAGGTTGGCAGATTAATCCCCTATTGAAAGGGGACTTAGCAAAGCTGTTTCATGAATCAGTTCACTTGAGATCGAAGCCATCACCAGAATGTGCATAAGAGTCATTAACTACTAATGAGACAGTCTGCTGGGTGTCTGAACTGGCTCTAATAGGAGATTTGTGTTCAGAATCATGTTTCACCTCTACATTGATTAAAAAAAAAAAAAGACAATAGAGCTGCTCCTCATTAGGTATGAAACATCTGCTTTGCTAATTCTTTTTTATCTTAATTACTACAAGGGCAGTACAGCCCTTCTCTTTGGCCAATGGTGGCTCCCCCCTGAGAACATCCAGACAGAGCAGCTGGAAGATCTGCAGAACAGCAAATCCACCCCAACTCTTCCCAGTTTCGCACAAAGGGGACAAATTTTTCAGAAGTGGTTTCAAATTAAGAATCTTCTTCAAGTTGCTCTTCTCCAGAATACACATCAACTTACGTGTTAAAAACCTCTCAGCAAAAATTCAAATTCCTAAATGCCCTGCTCACAGACATCCTATAGTAAAGAACCTCTTTGAAGCAGAGTTTAACAGGAAAAACACCTACAGGCCACCGTAACAGCACTGTTAAGACCTTTATACACTTTATGGTGGGATAATAAAACTTGCCAGTAGGATTTTGAAGCTTTCATTCTAATCACTGATGATAACCCAACAAGAAATGCTTTATCCCAAGGTATCTGAGCAAATTTGTGAACATTTTCACCATTTCTTATTGGTGAAAGCTGCAGAAACACAGAAGTACCCATCTGTGTACTGGAAAGTCTTCTGCTTCTTTACAAAGCAAGTAATCTTCCTTCGCACATGGAGAAGAGGGTAAGACTTCTATCTATTATACAAAGGCAGATCTTTCTTTGCTTAAATAAAGACCACAGGGAACACCAGGGATAAAATCACAGCCCTCGTTGTTTCAGTGATAACACGTACAGTCTCAGTACCACCCGAAATAGTTGTCTATCCTGATGCACAGTACAGGCCTGAAATTAAAAGCTTTGCATCCTAAGGGAATGTGCACGTCAAGCAAAGAGCTCATTTCTCCTTAGTCCATGCCTGACTGGCTCAACTTACCTTTGCTGTTTTGTGCTTCTCGGAGCAGCTCCATGACATCTCTTTCTGCCTGCTTCAACCTCTCCTCAAAGGCTTGGTCAGTTACAGTTTCTTCTCCCGTACCCAGATTCGCTATAAGATTTTCCAGCTCCTGAAGCCTCTCTCGCTGCTCTGCCACCTGCACGAGAGGGATGGAGCACAGCTACAGCATGGAGCGAGGAGCAGTCAATATATTTGCTGATGGGCAAATAGTTATGGTGCGTGGCACTGACTCTGGAAACCAAACGGTCACATTTGTGGCCTTACCTTATCTTTCACTAGTCGGTAACATGCAGGACACTCCTGACAGCCTGGCCACGACCGGTTGTAGAAATAGTTCTCCTCACACTGGTCGCAGCGGGTCCCCACAAAGCCTTCCTTGCACTCGCAGCGACCGTCCTCCCGGCACTGCAGGGAACGCGAACCCTCAGGGTCACAGTCGCACGCTGCAGGGAAGTCAAACCTCAGTCAGAGCTGAGAGGATGCAGAAATACCCTACAGCTACAGACCATTCCCTGCAAACCAACAGGGGACCCACCAAAACACAGACAGAGCCCTGCTCCCCAGCAGGGTGCTGCCACGCATGGGAAGGCACACCGTGTAGCTGGACACGGCTCATTTCATGTCAAACTGTATTAACAGTTTTGCCGTTGCCTCTTCCACAAAACATTTTAATTTCTTACCCCATTGCATTGTAACCAACTTCACTTTTTTTTTTTTTTCCCTCTCTTGAGAGGTGGGGATATGAGGAGAAAAGTTTGGACCATACTCTTTTGCAATTATGTTTACAAGGTATGTTGCTCCTCAACACTGAATCTGTGAACTGAGACCACTTGCAGGGAATCTCACTTACGTTTGCAGCCTTCAGGGCCAAATCCGAAGTGGTTGGCCTCACATCTGTCACAACGCTGCCCGGTGACGCCAGGCTGGCACTCGCACTGCCCTGTTCGTATGTCGCACTGGCCGTTGGTGGAGCCCAGTGCATGGCAGTCACACCTGGAGGACACAGCCACAGGTTAGGTGGTGACAACAGACAGCAGGCATCAGTGAGGCACCTCTGAAGGAGCCCTAGTGAGCACAGATGGAAGTTTCCATGCCAGTGGAGTGACTTTGCTTGCAGTGCAGATATGGGACAAGGCACCGAGCCTTTGAACCATGCAAGGTCACTTGGTGGTTGCACTAAAAAAGGAACCCACGAGCCTTGGCTACCAATGATCACGCAGCCACGTGACACGTTTCTATTTAAAACTCTGATTTAAGGCTATTTATAAAGCTATTTATAAGTCAAGCTTTTTGTACAGCCTTCGGAGCTGCTCCTTAACTCCTGCTCCTCCCTGCCCTTGGCAGCATCAACACAAAACACCAGTTACTTGTGACAAATATCACGTTCCTCCACCTGCTAAACACAGATCCTCCAAAACCAGGCTCATTGCCCCATGCCAAGGTGACTTACCTCTCACAGCCACGTCCGCTCTGGAGGTTGAAGAAGCCAGGCTCGCAAGCACTGCAGTCCCTCTCGGTGACATGTGAGAGGCACTCGCACTGCCCCGTCACTTGATTGCAGCTTGTCTGTTGATTCACAGTGCCATAGGGATTACAGTGACATGCTGCAAAAAGAAAAAGAATGGGAAGCATCACCCAAAGGCACTTCTCAGGGACAAAACTGCTTTTAAATGCGAGAGGAAAAGGCTCTTACCCCGGCACTTGTCAGCAGGGTTGGGGGCCAGGGGGTTCCCGAAGAAGCCGTCTTTGCAGCGGTCGCAGTAGAAGCCGGCTGTGTTGTAGATGCACTTGAGGCACTCGCCTGTGTGGCGGTTGCAGTTCCCCACAGCGTTAGGATCGATGTTGTCATTGCACTGGCACAGGCGGCAAGGCCTCACAGCGCCGTTCTCACCAAGTGGGTCCCCGAAATAGGCATCATCACACAGCTCGCATCTTTTGCCTGGGGCAGGACAGAAGCACACGTGCTACAGCAGAGAGCCCACTGCCGCAGTCTCACCTGGCCTCCTTCTGCAGCCCCCCCAAGAAGTACACTCCTCAGCTTCTTCCCTTTTTCTCCTTGTGAAGGAACCAGAAAGGTGCACAAGACTACACAAGAATCCCTCTCTATCTCTAAATTTAACCCTTTTTCACTGGAACTTCGCATTATGAATTATTTCAGCTTCCCCCTTCCCTCCTATCACCTCAAGCCATATTTGCTGTCATTTGTTGTTAATTGAAGAATTCAAGTAGGTAGAACTCAGCCGGACTCCACTGCTTCAGGAAGCCACATGGCCAAGGAGACCTGCTGAACCTCCACAGGCAGCCACAAAGCATCCAAGCCAGCAGTTCCCAAAGCTCATTGCAGACACAACCTTGCCAGCCAGCTAAAAGCTGTTTCTTTGGCAGCTCTTACATACACCATCCATCTTTCCCTTCACCTTTCCCACCACATCACAACCACATACAGAAAGATGGGAGTCAAGAGGGACCCTCGTGTGACCCTGTCAGCTACAAGTAAAGCTGCGCTCATACTCACGCCTGAGCTGCGGGGCACTTCGAACTCAGGCCCCCAGGCTCTGCTTTAGTTCACAAAGTGGTGGCACCCATGGCAACTCCCAGGAGCTACTCTAAACAGCGTGTCTGTGTGCTTGATCAGGGGCTTTCCTAAGCATTTAAGGCATTTACAGGTACTCTGTACTTTGGACTCTTTCATGCCAAGCATAAAATCAACAGAGAAGCACTGAGGCTGCCAACCATTTTACGTCTTATTTGCTGTTGGCAAGCAGAACAAAAAGCTCCACTTAACAACTCAAGTACATGCTCAGCCTTCACGGTTTATCATTAAGAAAAAAGAGCAGCACCTGTTCACATATTTCTCTTTAGAACTGTTGAGAATAAATTTGGTCTTGTACTTTTCGATTGGTATGCATGAGTCAACGCAGCCTTCCTGCTTTATCCATGCAGGACACTGGTGCTCTCGCTGCAAGCATCCCAAGGTGCCCCTGGCTGGCAAACAGGAGGCTCATCTTCTAATTTTGTTTCAGTCTGACCCATCCTTCCTGGCTCTTTTAGATCTATCAAACTTTCAGCCCAATACCACACAATTATGTGTACTAGACTCTGTACCAGAAGCTAGCATGGCTCAGATACATAGCAGAGAAACGTTTGGGCTTTGCACAGATTAAATCTTTGTTACCCTTTTGATCTTAAGAGAAGGGCACAAAGAACAGTTCTTCATCCCTGAGCCTTACAAGAGAGAGACAATAGGTCTAGAAGAAGGGAGAAATAAATTGCATTTGAACCTGGAGACACAGCAGTTGTCAGTGCCACTCACTGTGGGTCACAGCAGCAGAACTGGTAGAAGACATGCCCACAGGCACATGGGGTGTAGAACAAAGCCCTTTCTGGTAAGGACTCACCTGTAGTGCCAGCCTGGCAGCTGGTGCACACAACCTCCCTTGTGCGGGGCACGATGGCACAGCTGGAGCCACCGGGGCACGGGCAGGGCTGGCAGTCCGAGGCTGTGCCTGCCGTTGCATCCCCGTAATACCCATCGCTGCACTTCTCGCAGTGAGACCCCGCTGTGTTATCCCTACAGTTGCACACACCTGGAACAGAGAACACATTTTTTTATTCTTCATCCAACACAGGAAGGAGAACAGCCCCCTGGCTGCTCCCTTTCCCATCACCCCTTCTTACCTGTCTCAGGATCACACGTCTCACTGTGCCCGTTGCAAGTGCAAGGCACGCAGGGGCTGTAGGGCCCGAGACCGGGTGTCTCTCGGCGGTACCCAGAGGAGCAGCGCTCACAGAACTGCCCCTCGTAGCCTGCTGGACAGGAGCAGCTCTCCACCCATGCTGCAGGCACGCCGGGCCCAGGGAGAGCACTTGTGATGGTAACATCATCCAGGTGGCCAGCACCTGGGAACCAGAGAGGGGAAATACTTCATCAGCATTTCACCTAGTGCATCAGAACTGCACAAGAGATAGGTCTGCAGCTGATAAGGTGAATCAAGAAGCAAAATCCTCCAGGGAAGTTTAGACAGATGAGCAAAGATGCAATATAGCTCACACAGGGCATGTGCAGGGCTAGAAAGTTGAGAACAACAAGCCAGAGGAGGATGCTGAGACCAGCACAAGTACTGTCAGCTAAAAGAAGTTATGCTTTACATGCATATGGTTTCCATTTCCAAATCAAATACCGAAAACAATTTCTGCCTTTCTAGGGAGGTCACACCATCTCTCCAGCAATTTAAATACACCTTCCTCAAGCAGTGTCTGTAAACCATGCCTCAGGGCAAACTCTTCAGCATTTGAAAGCTTCCCAACCCACCCCTTCCCTGGAGCAGAACTGTGCCTGGACACACAATAACACAATAGCCAGTGTGTGTTTACAGCACTAGGCTTGTACTGCTGTAGTGGCTCTCAAGCACTGAGCAGAGCCCCCAGCTTCTGTGTTTTTAGCAACAGCTACGGTGCCATAGGGACAGCTTGCTCCACACATTTGCCCCCCTCCTCTTCAACACCCTGCATTCTGCTTTATGAACAACCTCTACTCAAAACACTTGCAGCTTCCTCATCTTCCCCAAACGCAGATTTGTCCTTTGTACATACTTGTTTTTAAACTCAGAAAATCCTTCACATGGCAGTATCCAAAGATTCAAATATTTTTGCCCCTAATTAGTGCCTGATTTTCATAAATCCTCGTCATGGGGTACTTTTGAACATGTTCAGTACATGCTGTGCTTTCAATACCTTGTCCTCCACACTTGTCCTGCCAAGGCACGATTAGAAAATGGGAGAAGTTAACTGTTCCTGCAGAAATTATTTTAGACTCCCTACATCTCCCTTACCGTGTCCTTCAGGACTCTGCATTACATATTACCACCAATCTGGAAGACGCTGGCTGCACAACACAGCAGAACTCCACATTTAGAAGCGCAGAACCACATCTGCTCCCCAGAGCATCAGCAGGTAATGAGTGCTCATTTTGAGACTCTCACAGGCAGCACTTTGCTTCCCCATCCCCTCTCCAGAAAGCCCGAGAGAAGCTCTTGCACTGCAAGGCCAGGTGGAAAGCAATTCCACATGGCTCTGCCAAATTAACTCCCCACAGCTATTTATGACCAGGTCTTGCAATTAAACAACTGGAGCACTGGACAAAAGGGCCTGTCTGCCCCTCTTTTCTGTGACGCTCTGCTCAGTGACTCACTTCTCTCGCTGTATGTCCCACGGATCTTGATGGCAGTCAAATTGTGGAGAAGCTTCTGAAAGTCGAACGCAGACAGAGCAGGCCTCCACGGGTAATCAGTGGCCTCATGGAGCCTAGGGAGAAGAACTGTGTATCATTTGCAAAGCTTTCAGATGCTAACAGCTGTGTCCCGTTTCCAACAATGGTATGCGATTGCCACATACTTTGCATACGCTTATGCAACACTGATGAACAGTGAGCTTCAAATTAACCTGATAAGACTGCTCTTGCGAGCTTAAATTAATGCTGTTTGTTTTCTCAAGAGCTGATAGGGCAGGGTGCACAGCAGGCTAGGTCCCAGCTGCTCCGGCCTCTTGCTGGGCTGGGACCACACTCACCTGAAGGTGTAGGTCAGTGGGCTCTCACTGGGGTAGGAGTTGCCCTGGGCAATGAGAGGCACTGACACTCTCAGCCCAGCCCCTTCCAGCACCAGGTCCTCTGCAGAAAGGCGTGTGTCTCGTCTGTCCACACGGAAGGAGAAGGTCAGGTTCTGACCATAACTCAAAACTTGGTTGCCCAAGAACTTGCCTGAAATGGGAAGAAATCCTTACAGTCAGGGGACAGAGAATGGGAAGATCACAGGCAGTGCAGAAAACCTCGCTTCTTGAATGACCTACGTGGTGCAACAAAATACATGGGGAAGTAGCTGTCTGAGATGACAGAGATATCCTGGGTCTCTGCACTCCACTGGAGGGGGACTTCTGAGCCGTCGCGTTGTTCAGCACGCCACTCATCCTCTCCTGAAAACCAAATGTACAAGGATCAACACCCTTTGAAGGAGCAGCTTTGCACAGACTACTCACATCATACTGCAAGCTGCTTATATATAACTAATTTGCACTTTATACACTGGTACTAACTGACCTGAGACAGATATTGGAATGCTGACCTGAACCCTCTGAATTTTGAGCCCTACAAAAAATACTTTTCAACATCTTCATTTCTAAAGACTTCAGTAAAGAACTGGAAAACCTGAAGTCATCTATGACTTGATGCCAATTTCAGCCTTCATAAGAGCTGTTCTCCATTGGAATTTTAACTAAAAATATGTTCTTTTTAGACTATGCAGAATGAAAACATTTCTATGCAGGAAACTGTATGAAAAAAGATTTGTGCACAGCTTACACATCCATCAGAAACCCACCAGTTTTATTCAGAGCCATTTAACCCAGGATCTAAAATGATTATAGTACTCTCAAACTCCTCATTCGGCTCTAAAATTGAGAAAATGCCCCTTCTCAGCACCTCTCTGTTATAAAATTTTACAACACTTACTTAAAACCGTGAGGTGTACGTTAAGCACAGTGGGTGCCTGAGGCCAAAGCAGCGAATTCCTTCCACCCCAACTGAACAAACAAGCTGAAGACGGGGAAGCTCCCATTGACTTTAGTAACTCAGCACTTCCGAGAAAGGGATCCTGTACCTGCCTGCCCAAAATTTGCTATCCCACACAGCGAGGAAAGAGCATGATTTTAATCGCTTCTCATGCTTTGGTCTACAGCCCAACCTGAGATACAAAGACAGACTCAATTTTACCGAACTGGAAGCTGGAGGTGATGCTGTAGATGCTGTAGCCAACAGCATTGGTGCAAACTGAGGAGTGTCCAAAACAGAAGCAGGGGGTACAGCCTCTTGGATTTGAGGGATCCAGATGGAAAAACCCAGGTTTGCATCTGCATATGCAATGGAAAAAGAATTAATTTCCTTGATGTTTACTCCAGGCCATTGCTCAAATATTTCTCATTCTTGAAACAAAGCCACAGGAAGAGAAACTCACCTCTCACAGTGGAAGCCTTCAACATTGTCCTTGCAAGTACACCGTCCTGTTTCGACATTGCATTCACCTGTGCTACCAGCAGAATTGCAAGAACAGGGCCTGAGAGAGACAAGAGAGAGGATAATTCATGAAAGCCACACAGCCCTGAAAATGTATCTGCTTTTTCTTTTAGACAGAGGTTCCTCCACCAAAGAGCAGCAGTTCCCCCTTACCTGCACCCAGCCTCAGAGAGGGAGTGGAAACCTGGCTGGCACCGGTCACATTTATCACCCATCACGCCAGGTTTGCAGCTGCACTGGCCGTAGCTATCGCACTGCGTGCTGAGGGAGCCTGTGGGGAAACAAGGGACAGAGACCTTAACAGACCCACAGAACTGTATGAGCTCGTGATTTTCTTCAGCTCTTGAAGCGTGAAAGATACACAAGAAAAAGTCTGAGGCATAGCTTCAAGTTGGTGAGTGATGCCTTACAGGTCCCTGTTTTTCCATAGCAACTCTAAAGAGACAAATCTTTACCTACTTTTCCAAAAACAAAACTGTTGTCAGCTTTAAGTATTCTTTCCAACTACCCTTTTTATATGTACCTTTACCCTTTCATTGCATGCTCCTCCTTATTCCTCTTCTGTCCTCAATGCTGTCTTTGCCTGCCTATTTAATTCCCTGCCTTTTCTTTCCCTGCAACATATCCTTTCTGAGATTTTATACCCTAAATCCTGTGTTCTTTCTAATTATCATTTACCCTTTGCCAAGAGATATCCTGACCTCTTCTCCCCCTCATGTTACAATTTTCTCCATTGACTTCCGAGTTGAATTTAAAGACTGAATTGTCTCCTCAGAGAGAGTCTGCATGTGACACTATTAACCTTAATAAATTCTATAACAAAAATCTTTTTTGACAGGACACATTCCTCAAAAGTACTGCTCACAAGTAGAAAGGGACTTGTACAAACAGTAGCACAGGTTTCTTTAATGTGAGGCAGACAAAATACTGTTTTCCCAAGCACCAATGCAGCCAGCAGATTACAATTTGTCAGCATTGTGAGAGTTAACTACCAGGATAAAAGTATATAAAAATACAGGAATAGTTGCTTCTTTCCACTTTGATCCACACTGGAAGATTATAGCAAAGCAGAAAGTTGTGATATGATGAGGTCAGACAGAAGAGAGAGAAGAACTCACAAAGCCTTCACCATATGCAGAGTTTAAATACCCATTGCAGTCCCACTATTGAATACTTAGGAAAAAACAGTAATCAGATGGAAAACTAACATCTAAACTAATTCAGGGGCTTCAAATACTCACAGGGTGACAGTGTGCCATGGCATACAAGCTGATGGCTAAAGTTATAACGCCCTTTGAAATTCATCCTTAAATACCTGAGACATCACCTCACTGCTTCTCCCACTCCCTGACACAAACCCTGTGCACAAACACGCCGTAAATAAGGTCAGGCACAAGAACCAGGGAGAGCAGAGGGAGAAGAAAGAGGCCTTTCTTGGTCAAACGTTTCACAACTGTGCAATTCTCTGACCAAATTAGATAGGAGACATACCCTGCCAGACCTCTTGCTGGCTGCTTTTAGGGCATGCCACAAGCAATTACTTATTCCAGCTACTCTATTTTGGAACCTCACATCATATCTTACTATCTGTTACCCTTTGTTTCCTTCACCCGTATTTGTCATGAGACTGATGTAGTTATGGGATTGCTCTATACAGGTCAAGTGGTTCCCTTGGCTACAAAAGATTGGTTCTCCTGCCAGAATTTTCTCCAATCATTTAAAAAAAAAATGAGTCTGACTACATATTTTGAGTCAACTTTGTTTTTTTCTCACCCCCTTTTGTGTTTAAGGTTTCAGAAGTTTATATTTACAGTGCTTAGATACTCAGTAGGAGAAATTGATGCTGCTAATGCTCTCTACCATTCTTCAGTACGAACAACTTCCAGAAATATCCACCCGCATAATCTTGTTTATTAAGAATTTAAACGAGCACTTCAGTGCTGGGTGTGTCCAGGGTAACACATACACAGTTGTGAAAAAAAAAAGACAACTACTTTAGAGCACATTTGAAGGAGGAAATGCTGCAGTGGTGATCCATCTGCCCCTGCCACCCCATCCCCAGTTAGATCCAAGGATAATTTTAACCATAATACAACCCAATAAACATTTCCTGTGTAGGCCAAAAGAAAAAAAAAAATCTCTTTTTACCCCTACAGTTTGCCAAGAGCTGAAAAACAGAGAAGAGCTTGCATGAACTTCCGTGCATAAATATTTGCTGCCTCTACTTACCAACTGGGTTGCAGTTGCAGGGCAGACATCCCTCCTCACTCCCGAGGCGGTAGAAGCTGTCCCTGCACCTCTCGCAGTGGGCACCGTCGGTGTTATCCTGGCAGCCCACGCAGTGGCCACCGTGGCCTGTTGAGCGGTACAGCTCAGGGTCGAAGTAGCACTCTTGGGACCTCCCATTGCAGTCACAAGCTGCAGAAAAAGGGTATCATCCATGAGTGGTGTGTGTGGCTATCCAGAGCCCAGCCATCACAAGACCCACTACACACAGCTGAATATTCAGCTCGGAGAAGGAACCTTGAACCATCCTGAGACGTTTGTGCAGCAGTGAGAAGAAAGAGGAAAAAACGTGTTTTTGCAGCAGTTGCAGGTACAAGGCTGCAATGATGAAATGGGTTTGATGAGCCAAACCAGCACACAGCTACACCAGCTGTCAGCACAGACCTCGAGCACTTCATTCCCTCCATCCCTTAGGGGAGGGTAATGACTGGCAGTGCCACCAAGCACCTGAGACCATGGACAGGTAGGGCTGGAAGATACCCAGCATTGCACCCTCGGGCCGGGCTGCCACTTCCAGCCAACGTGCTGCCTCCCACACAGCAACGCTGATCTCAGCCGTGCAAACAAGCACCAGAAGATATCAGTAAGGGCTGACCCCGTGCTGCACAAAGAGTTTCTGCTTTGGGAGCAGGCAGACCATGGATTTCGTCTGTTTGGGGAGCAGGAGAGCTGGGTTTCGGTGGCCTGTCAAGGGAAGCCACAGGTCTCCACCAGACAGCTGGGAACTATCAGCACACACAGAGGTCAGACAGGAAGAAAGCTTTTCTGTCTGAAAAAGCTCCCCATAAAGTAAACTAGCAGGAGCTTTGGTCTGCGACACAAAACTGAGAAAAATTTGGTCCTGGAGATTCACATTTGCAGCCCAGAACTGTTGCAAGTCTTGAAACTGGATGAAACAGTTTGCAAGTAAATAAAAAACAATAATCCAAATGCAAGAGGAAGTCAGAATACCAAATAAGCTTTGTGAAGGACAGTTACACTCCAGCATACTAAATGCAGGCTTTTTTTCTAGTACAAGCTGGAAAGTTTTTGTGGCAAATCTTTCCTAAAGGTCACTCCAATCCTCCAGAAAGGAGATACCCCTTTGTACAAATCTTCCAGAAAGGTCCTACAGGACAGGAATGACAAACCCAAGGCAACATTCTTCAAAAGACCTGGATGTGCTCAGAGTAGCACAAGGAAATGGACTTTGCTCCATTTTCTCATCAGCTTATACTCTGGGACAGGAATCTGGGCTCATTTTGAGAGTGCCTTATGTGTGGAAATCCCTGAGGAGAATCTGAATGCTGACACGATAACAGTAACAGCCCATCTGCAGCCATGCGCTTCATCAGAAAACAAGCAGGACATTCTGTGTAAATGCCAGATAAAATACAGCATTTGGTCGTTCCAGTTCAAGGTCTGCCTCTAAGGAAAGCTCTGGTCTTCTTCCTCTGAAAATGTGGGCAGGCATTTGAACTTAGATTATTACATTATCTAAACTCACACTGAAGGCTCTCTGTAACCTGAGATACTTCCAGGGGCATTAAGAGGGATTTAAAGCATCTCCATCTTGAGAGCACAAATCCTACAAGCAGTTTATTGGACATGTACTCCTAAACCACTGGGGAAACTGTATTCAAGACCCTTAGCACTGGCTAACTGGAGCTGAGCCTTAAAACCATGCAAGACCAGCATGGCAACAGAGGCAGGGGACCAAAACCATGAGCAATTTCCGTGCAAGGCACGTTCACACATACGCAAGCATTCATTGGCACTCTCTGCTGTCGCTCTCCTCCACGGCCGGTCATTGAAGAAAGGAAGGCACTTTTCACAGTCGACCCCAAAGGTGTTGTGCTTGCAGTTGCAGACCAGCTTCCCAAGCTCATTCCTCACGCACTCGCTTGCATGACCGTTGCATTTGCATCTGGGTAACAAGACAAGGAACAGGTATTTAAACTTCAACAATCCAGGTCACCCACAGAGCAATCCAGAAAACAACGCCCAGATCTGAAAGTCTGAGACAAGACATATTTGAAGGTGTAAGACTCTGGCAAAACTGCTAACACAGTTACTATGAAACAAGTAGGTGTAGCATGCTCAAGGCAAGCATTTAAAGAGCAAGAAGGCTAACCTGCCTCCTCTGAAGTCCATCACTGAAGTAAAATAAACTGAGCAGGAGAAGTAAAAATGTTGGGTTTAGACTAGTATGCATCTCTTTCATGTGCACACTGGCCACATGCTACCGTTTGTAAGGGTAAGCAATTAATTAGCACAAGGTGACTGATACCAAAGCCCAGTCTCAGGACTGCTCTCTACAAACAACCTGAGACACTCCATTGGTCCCAACTCTATTTATGAAAACATTTTACTGTCAGCAAGTTAAGATTAAAGCATTTTGCAATATGCTTCAGCAAAAGGAAGAGGGCACAGAGAACCACGGCGTTGTACAGTGCTTCAGATCTTTGCAGGATTTGTCCCCCAATATTTAGGTGTAGCATGTCAAAAATCTCAACATCTCTGTTTTTATTCTAGGCTGCACGTAAAGCAAAACCACAAAAAACATTGGGTAGAAAAAGTTTTTTTTCCCTTTCATTTTACATTCTTGTCACTCTTTTTGTACCCCTTCGCTGATTGCTTAACATTTGATCTAATCAGGAAAATAAAATATTCAATCTGCCTGTCCCTGAGATTTATAGCCACAATAGGTAAAATGTAGTGTTTGCAAGCTTCACGAGATGCATTCTACTGCATTTTTGACTTAGGACAGTCAATAAAGACTGGAACCTAATGGTCCACGTGAGTATAATCAAAACCTTTAAAGAACTTCAGTAATCCTGACCAAAAGCTTCAAACAAATACAGAGGTTTATTGTTTACTCACCTGCCACCCACAGCAAAATCAGAAATAGCATAGTAATATGACTTGAGAACTTTGGGGTCATTGAAAACTTCATCTCCGAAGGTGTTCAGACGGTTGAGGCTCACCCTGATGTCAGTAGCCGTCACCCATTCCTAGAGCAGACAAAAATCCCATCAGAGTACATACACATCAGACGTAGCCCTGCAGTGCACGTCAGCACCGTATCGTTAGCAGCTGTATTTACACTCAGTAAGTCACGCCAGCAGTCATTCATCAGTCAGCACGCTCCTGCCTCATCATTTCCCCCTCTGTACCTCTGAGGCTCACGCGTCCCTGCCCAGGAAGCCTCGCATCATATCCTCTCGGTTCAGATAAGTTTTCCAGACACCCCTCCTGTCCCTGCCTCCCCTTCCTCGTGCCTCCCCGGGTGCTGGCTGCTCTCAGCCGGGAAGCCGTGGGCAACATCTTCAGCAAACAGAGCGGGGGGCCTGTGTGCTGCCCTCACATACCTCACCGGCTGACAACAGCTTTCTTGCAAAGCAAGAATGGAAAAAGCTTTAGGGTATGCTCGTCTGCAGCCACACACCTCCAGACAAAAAGACACAGACAGATGAGTGAGGGTGGGAAGAAAAACAGGCAGGCAGATCTGACTTGCAACACAAGAGCTTTTCATAATATTTACACAGCATCTTCAGCACAGTACCCTACCCTCCTCCAGCAACAGCCAGCAAACGTAGCCTGTCCCCAAATTCCATGTCATCTTCAGCCTGTGACTACTGTTAGCACCACACTGTTCTTGTTACAGCTTTTGCAATACTTCTTTCCTTCAAACACCATAAAGAATATGGGAAAAACATCCATGCATGTACAACTGCACTACAGCAACGATGCTGATTAACCAGCACAATAAGAAGATTTGCTGAATTACAAACACTGGCATAAACACGGGGAAATGCTGAGCACAAAACACACACTGACTTCAGTTCTGAAAAGCAATGCCAGAGGTTTGCACGTATTTTAGGAAACCAGCGGTCAGGTTTCCATTCCTTACAGGGAGTTTATGGGAAGATCATGCATTGTACCACCAACTTGGGATCTCTGTTCACCCTTAATGACCGGACTCTGCTCACAGCAAGGTCTAGCTGCATGAACAAGGTGGCCAAATTGGCTCTTTTCCATTTTGTGTGTTTTTCTCTTTCCCATTAATCTTTATTTTCCTTTATATAATTGAGCCTTACCAGACCCTGCTTTTCTGCCCACTGGCTGCAGATCAGAGGCAGGCGAGCCCCGAACCTGCTGGCTGCCCACAGCTCAGTGTGCTCTTGCTAATCTATGAGAACAGGGAAGGACGGCTGACGCGAGGGCGTGCCGGTCACAGCTCCAGAGGAAGGAGACAAGCCCCGATGGGGCAAATTCCACAGCTTGAGCTCTTTGTTGCAATGTAATCTGGAAAAGTCATCAAGCAGCACAGAGAAAATTGCGAGTAAACTGGATAAACTAGTGCTACTGGTATGCCCCAGACCACTACCCAGCCAGTGCTGTGAATGGTAAGAACAAAAGACCCCCCACTAAACCCCTTATCCAAGCCTTTTGTAAGAGAAACTAAACGCTGTAGATAAAACCAAGCTCCCCCCACTACAGCACACGAGATAGAACAAGTTAGAGTTTCAAATAACCCTTTAATTGTTTAGAAGAATACCACATTTCTTAAACTTTCATGCTCAAAATCTACATGCAAATGCCTCAAATATCAATCTGATACAGGCATTACCATTTCCTGGTCTTTTTGAAACAGCAAGATGCACACAACTGCCTTCTAAGATGGCAGAAGTAAGTATCCAATAATTTCCATTAACCCTCTTAAAAGTCATCTTTCATGCCACTAATTATTTTTGTTGTTGTTGTTGTTGTTGTTTTTACCATAAACATACTTTTGATAGAGTCTAGAGTTTACTCAATCTTCAAATGCATTTCTTCGGATCATTCAACACAACTTACCTGTCCAACAGCCCTTCAGGCTGAATAAGGGCTGTAAGTGCAGCCCACAGTTCACACAAAGCTGCCACCCATGACAGCTAAGCAAAAGAACACAGCCCAGACCATCTGATATGCTCCCACTCGCGTACCTGTAGCACAGGGCTGTTGTCAAAGTTGTAGGCACTGGGTCGCCCCTCCAGCGTTGAGAAAGCCACGTTGCCCCCAGTGAGAGGGGAGATGTCACTGAACTCATCTGTGCAGAGTGCCTGCTGCTCATCCTCTCCAGTCCGAATAAAACCCCGATTGACTTTGTTATAGGTGCTCTCACAGGACCCGCTGTAGTACTGGTAGGGCACCCATGGGCCATCTTCCCTGGTGCGTTTGTAGATTGCAAAGCTCTCCGGCCGGCTCGTGTGGAACTTCAGACGCACGTACGTGATGTCAAAGGCCTTTCCTGCAGGTGAGAGGAGAAAGTCATGAGAAAAACTCAACTTAAAACAAAGACTGAGGAGAGCTGCACCACAGTTCTGTTTAGAAGATCTCTTCTAGGACCATCCAGTAGGATGAGCAGTGCCCAGTAGCACCAGCACTGTATTTCCCAGCAAAGACAAGGTGAAGATACCAATGGAGAAAGGCAACAGGAAGACTGAGTAGATAAATAAACAAATCTATGGATTTCAGTGCAACCAAACATGCAGCTCGTGAGCTCTAATTCGTTTCTACAGGCATCACTGAAAACGTCTGTATCCCCAAAGGATGACAGATTACAACAGATACATTAACAGTTTGTGTCTCTTGAGATTCTCTCTGCTGACTTGAGCGCCCACCCCTGTGCACTAAGCCAGCCATGAGGGGTTTCATGACCACAAGAAAACCTTTAGCCTCTTCACATTGCTGCATTCTTCACCTTGGCATTCCTGCACCAGGAGCAGGGATGTTGCACTGGCCAAGCTGCGTGCTGGCTGTTACTGCTGCACCTTGGCCAGCAGGCTGTGGGCGATCACCACATCCCGGAGCTAAATGCACGCTGGATTTTGGATTTGCTGTGGGCTGCCAACAGCCGTATGGAAACGTGAGAGGCACAGCCACCAGCACGCAGTTCGGAGCACGCAAGGACAAGGCGAGGTTTGTCTGGGACAAATCATCAGGAGTTTCATCTCTGCCGCGCTCTTCTACCCTCCCACCACCTCCGAGAAAAACACTGCTCGGAGCACAGCCTGCAGCAGCCGCTGCTCTTCACTTACAAAAAAAAAGCCACCAGAAGAGTTTCAACTGATCAAGAATCAGGCTCTCTCTGCCTGGAGGTCATGCAGATTTAACCTCAATTTGTAAAAATGAGCTAACTACACTGTGTTAAAGTTTAACACAAGGCTTTGCACCTGCTTAAGAGTGGTTCACTGCACAAGTTAAAACAAACCAGGCAGCACAAGGCAATGGGAACGGTGTGCGCCTCTAAGCACATATGCAAAAACCTGACTGCAATGAAAATCCACCTGCAATTTAAGTCCTTCCATACCTAGCCTGACTTAAATCAGCTCAGCTTCATGCAAGGTAGGCTTTGAACTGGAGTTAATGAGTGACTCTAGACAAGACGTTCCATCTCCCCATCTCTACGTGAGACGTGGGGTTTGCAGGTGCCGCTCTGCAGGTGGGAGCCTTGCCCCAGGGTTGTGCTGAAGCCCCTTCTCATGCTCACACCGGCTGCAAGATGCACGCACGATACTCGGGCTGGAGACACCAAGTGGTCAGGCTTGGGTCGGTGGCCGCAGCTCCTGTGTGCAGAACACCAGGAGCAGCCCGTGCTAGGCACGCTCACTGCATGGCTGGTGTAGATGACTCGCTGTCCTTTCTGACCGCTGGGAGCACAGAAGTAGCAAGAAAAGCATGGTAAAGGATCCAGAACTCAGCACATCAGTACACACACGTACATACAGCATGTGACAAATTGATGCTGGCATGTAGCAAGGACACACACACACACAAACGACCAAGCTCATGTTTAAAGGCTAAATCTGACAAGACTCCTACCTGTCAGAAAGACTACTTTAGGGTATGCCATGGAAGACAACTGTGGCATTGTACAGACACAATCTCTCTCCCCGGCACTTCCTACAAAAGACTCACTACTATTTATATAGTGTGCAAGCTGATGATGACCTAAGCACAAGACTGGAAGCCAGATATTCACAATCTGTGGCTCTTGCTCAGTACCATATCACTGTTGGTTTGCAGTCAAGCCACTTGACACGAGCTCCTCACACACAGAAGGCAACAAGTGAGAAGCAATCACACTGTTGACGACAAATTGATTCCACAGAAGCCAGAAATTCTAAGTGTGAACACTCAACATCATAACACAACTTGGGATAAGCCTCCTCTTGCTGCCCAGTTCAAGCAGGAGATGAGCAACCCCTTTCTATTTAGAAGCATTTTTTGTATGAGTCTCAGCGCAAAGCGAGGAGGAAGCAGCATATATCAAGTGTTTAAATCAGACCCTCACAGGCTTCCCATTTCTCCTGCTATGTGGTCTCTTCTCAAGAACAAGTCCTCACCGAAGGCAAAGAGCGCTAAAAGGTGAAGAGCAGGTAAGCAGAACTTCGAGGCAAGCACAGACACAAACCGATAGCCAGACGTGCACAAATAGCTCAGTTTTCTTCAGCTAGGACAGCCTCTCTCTAGATAGAAGCAAAACCCGAGTTCAGGCTTCATCAAGATGACTTCAGGGAGGAAACGCAGTGAAAGAACCCAGCGAATGAAGAGGAGAAGCGGGCTTGTGCTTACACTCTACAAACACAAAATGCTCTAGCAGGAAGGGCAGCTCACAGCCTGCACGTCCCAAAAAAAAGAAACAGATTGTCAGGTTTGCAGGGCTGTCCCAACAAAAACAACCATGTCACCTCCACAGCACGCAAACAACCCCGTTTTTTTCCCCTTCTCTACTACTAGATTATAGCTCTGTTCCCCAATCAGGTCTCCTACAGATCCCTGCAAAACAAAACAAAACAAAAAACAGCTAAGCTAAAGGTACAACACGTGCAGAATGCACTCTCGGCAGTACAAAAACATTTTTCCACAGAAATCTCCCATGCTAAATGGAAAGAACCCTCCCCTTCTCTGCCTGCGGTTTTACACCATGGGCCAACAAAAACACACTGGAAACTGCACGGGTTTGCCCAGGTGAAAAGAAATTCATTTCAGCTGGCACTGGAACTCCTTGAGAGGCCTTGCTGATGGCGTGACACAGGAATGCAGTTAGTGCACGCAGCAGGGCTGTGCTCCAGCACTGTATCAGCTCGCCACGGGTAAATACTGCTGGAACAATAGCGTTTACCCAAGACAGCTGACAGTGTTGAAATACGTTTTCCCCCTGTTTATACTGAGGGCAAAAGCTGTGCTTAGCAGCCTGGCCGCTAGCAGAGCTCTTCAAGGTTGCAGAGCCTTTTTGCTAGCAAAGCTAAGCCTTCCAGGCTGCCTTCAAGTTTTGCAGGGCTGAATAAATACATCCTACTATTACCCTGAGAAATGGCAACAGCAATAACTAGGTGAAAGGCAGTTTTAAACATTTAATTTGGAAGACAAGAAATTATTGCTCTTCTGTTTCTAGACGTTGATCATTTTTTTAACCACGGTTTGGTCCACTTGGTCTCACATACGAGCAGTCTCTTAAAGCAGGCACACGGATAAGCCTTCAAGGAAGCACTTCAGTTCCAGATTTTAGCAAGTCTGGGTGGTGAAGGAGGAGAGGGGGTGAAGATGGTATCAGAGATGTTGCCTGTGCCGAAAGCTGCTAAACACTACCCCCAGCAACCTGACCGTGTTGTCAAGCTGGCCACAACCTCCAGGCAAGCTGATGGATGTCAGCAGGGTCATCTCCCACTTCTGCGTCCCAAGGTCTAGCAGGACACATACCATGCTGAAAACCATAAGGATAGTCAGGAAAATTAAATGCTATTTAGATCTTCACAAGAAATTCTTCCCTTTCCCCCCAAGTTAGGAATTCATCCCTAGACACAAAAGGCCTCCTTGTGCTCAGGCCCCTCAGAAGGGATGGATAATTTACATCAGGAAAGCATCCCGCCAGCTGGCACTCTGACTACAAGCACTGGATTGTGAGCAGATGCCTTTGAGATAAGCCCCGACCGACACTTGCCTCCTTCATTATCGGTCCGCTCACATCCTCTGCATGGCTTCAGAAAGAGCTCGCGCTCCCTCTCCTTTATTCTCTGCAACTCAGTACAGCCCCCGAGCAGTAAGCTTTAAAATGCAGCTGTTTTGCTGCTGAGGATAAAAGTCTGTCCGAGAAGACCACGTCAGGCAGAGTCAAACTTCTGCACAAGTATTTTCAGCAAAATTCCCTGAATAGTAATGGAACAGCTCAGCTTTGCTCTGAATGTTTCTCTTTTGGTTAGCTCTGGTTTCAAGCAGCGTTTTTCTTAGAGACACCTGCTGACAACAATTCCGTGTAAAATTTAAAAGACCCGAAGACAACACGGTAGCGTATTTATTATTTTGTTACTAGATTTCATTTCCAATTCACAATGACGAGACAGAGCGAGCAGCTCTCAATACCCTTGGCATTTCCTTTTGCTTTTTGTCCTGTCTGACCCGTCCCACTCTCAGCCCCAGGACAAAAGGCCAGGTTTGCCAGCCCACAGAACTGGAAGGCACTCACTGGAAGGCACTCACAGCCGTGCACCCTTCTTGTTCTCCCTCCTAACTCCATTCTGCCTTCCTGAACCGCCACCCACCATCCAGCACTATATTGAACCAGCAAAAGGCTTGAGGGCAGCGAAACGCCTATCTGCTCCTCTCTGAGGAATGAAGAACTACCAGCAATAGCAGGAGGCAGCAGCCCCCACCATGTACAGGGCGTAGCAGAGGTACTGCGACCCTACACAAGCAGAAAGCTGCAAGGAACACACACACTGATGCTGGCAAGTTAGCGAGCTCTTATTTAAGACTGATTGCTGCTTCCTGAGTCCACTACTCCAGACTCTCAGCTACTGCCGTGATTTTGGGCAGCCTTCCATGCTAGAAACCCTCCCTAGAGCACAGGCACAGGGACCACTGGTGCAAAGGCAATATTTAAGGAGTTATCCCATCCTGCAGAATGGGAAAGGGTTTTCCAGCATGCAGACAAGCAATGAAAGCAGGGCAGTAATTAGAAGGATAGGAGAATGAGAAACTTCCAGAGCAACTTGCTCTTTTGGAATAAAATAGGTTTAGTAAACATCAGCCCAACACCTGCAAGACACATAACTGGTAAGTTATGTCGCTTGCATCACATACACATGAAATGGCCAAACTTATGACAAAAAGCAAGAAATTATTATAGTTCTAGAGCAAATATCTGTTGTAACTACACCCTAGCTTTTCTGGGAAAATTTGTGGAGGAGGAAGATTACAGCACTGGTGTCACACATAAAATGGAATAGCCAGAGTCTGAAGAAAAAA